ATAACTGTCCACTGTAGTGACCACTATGCATGAAAGGGTTAAACCACCTTTAAATGCGATATTGGGAACAGACAGTAAGCGAACCAGTGCTTTATATTTTATTGTGTGCATCTGTGTCTGGAAAGTCCATTAAGATGTGCACAGTCAGGGGTAAGGGTGAACTGACCTTGGCCTCTCAGTCACTTAACCCTCCTCAGAGAAAGGGAACCTACTGACCCCTGACTCGCACCAAGCTTACCCACCCTCCTGGTATCACTGGAACACTGTTTGTGATTTGCATGATTTTGCAAATGTGGATGGCAATGGGTTCTTATTTGTGAGTTGCAGATTTAAACACTAAGGGTAGTTCCAATTCCTCTGAAATTAATATTGAATTTTGCAAACCAATCTGCCAACGATCAAACTCTGCCTTTTCCCCCTCCATCGGCTTGGATCTGCTGTTGGATCTGCAGGTTGGATACAGAATTATTATTAATATTGTTTAACTGATTCATTTATTCTATAAAAATTTTACTTCTCTCCATGAACTTACTATGGCTCAATGATTTTGCCAAAAATCTAAATTGCATTATTTTTAACCAGATCGCGGTTGCGATTTTATTTCGATTTTCTTTTGCACCAACCCCAAGCTTGTTGATGTTTCAGTTTTTGAAAGTTTGCTTGCCAGGAGTCCAGGACTCCAGGGCATCGTGGTGCCAGTGTACAGCAGCCTCGCTTCTGTCAGTGAGCCCTAGGGCAGCTGTGGCTACAATGTAGCTTGCCACCATCAGTGTGTAAATGACTGAATGTCGTGTAAAGTGCTTTGGTCAAGTCTCCTGACTTGAAAAAGCAATATATAAGTACAGGTCTTTAACCATATTGCATGAAAAGCACTACTGCATGAAAAAGTATTTACTTCTACCTGCATGCATGGATCTGCATGCTAGCTGCAACTCTCTACCTTTGATGACAAACCCACTTCAACCTAAAGGGCTGGAGGGAGACATTTTTGGTTGTACTCTTGTTAAATATAGTGCCAATAATAATGAGTGCCTTCGTGATTTGAAAACTGTATTTTGTTAAATTTCAATTATATTGCAATTGCAGTTAATTGCCCAGCCCTACTACTAACATCTTGTATTCACCTTGAAATTATCCGATGACAATTGGACAGGTGCATTTCATAAATTGGAACATTATCCAAAAATTGTTTGAGTCATTGATTCCAAAACATGAATATGAATATTTGAATATATATTCATATTCATCAATGTCTGTTAATATAGATGGCTCACAGAACATTTGAATTTAATGTAAAACCGGTTTGAAGTGTAAATTTAATGCCATGGAATTGCATTTGAAAGGCTTTCACAATCACAGGGAAGATTGCTGACATGACATTTATGCAGCAGAGTCACTGCCCCCGAAAGACGTTAGGCTTTTAAAAAGCTGGTAGTTTACCTGGCACTGCATCCTAGTACATATATTTCCAAATCTGTTTTTCAAGTCTTTGCAGTTTATCCATCCAAAGTTTAATTAAAAGATATTGCTTCTGTTTGCTGTTATTTCAACTACTGACTCTGAGGCATGAGGATGTATTTTACATGAGCCAATGACGTGTCTCTATGCCCAGTGGCATCATGTCCTCCCCTGTACTATTTAATGTGGCTTCGCCTGGTTTTAAAGTCTCCATATGGCATGACTTAAATCTCAAGACTAAGTGATCTCACACTGAGCGAGGAGCTTGCTAGTATGCATGTGGTTTGTGTGTGTGTAGGTGTGTGTGTGTGTGTGTGTATATATAGAACAGGAGAGGTGAAAGATCAGGCCACTGTGAGTAAGACCAAGGTTGTGTTGGGGGGAGTTTAAAAGAGGTAAAAAGACATAGAAAATCCCTCAAATTAAGTGGAATTTGAATGCATGTGAAGCCATGACAACTCTGCACATGTTTTAAATTACAGCCTGTAGTGACATTTCTCCACCATCAGCCAGATATTAATTCTTAATGCGGTTTACGTATGTGCTGTGAACTGTGATTTGAATGCATTAGTTTTTTTGAATCTCAGCCTTTGACAAAAGTGTGACTTATCTTTAGCCAAGCAAACACAGCAGCAACTACAGCAACTAGAACCGGGCTCTTAGATAAAAGTATGATTTCACCCAATAGTCAAACTTGGACTGACCCCTTGAGGTGATTTTATCTACTGCAGCTATGTGGTTTTAGCAGCTTTTTTCTTCCTGCTGCCATCTGTTGTTTTTTTTTGTTTTTTTTTGTCCCTTGAAGTTACCCAGAAAGATGTGGTATTAGTCTTCAGATGACTTTAAAGTGATTATTCTCCCTGTTCTGCTGTGCTGTCAGGGTGGATCTGAATGAAGATGGATTCTGCCAGCCCTACAGAGGCATAGCCTGTGCTCGCTTCATCGGAAACCGCAGCATCTACGTCGATTCCCTGCAGATGCAGGGGGAGATTGAGACTCAGATCACAGGTGGGGAAAACACACTTGTGCTGTAGTTTATTTGTTATCTTGTATTATTAATACGTTAACCTTTTTCTTCATTTTTATATCTCATCAAATAGTATTTCCAGTTTGAATGGAAGTAAACACAGCACTTAATTTTATCTACAGTAAAAGATTCAAACCACATCTTTGATCAAGCAGATTTTATAGCTGGGAACATGAAGGAGTCATTTTTAAGATAGTGATGCACCAATGAAATGGACAGAAATAAAAAAGAAAAAAAATAGTTTGCAGGTCAAATGTTGTAAAATATTTTAGGGGGTTTTCTCCATTGGCGGCTGGTGGAGCTATAAATTCAAAATAGACATATACCAAAAACCAATCAAACCTATACTAAGTTATCACACCAGTATATTCATATAAATTCCAACAACAAAAAACATTATAGAAACAAAACATAATTTCACGAACAGGTTTACTTTTTACACGAGTTTTTCCCTTTCTGAGGCTCATTGAAGGCAGAGCTGTGTTTTGCATGGTCCAATATTGTGTCACAAACCTAAAAAAAAGATTTTTCCAGTTTAATAATGGAGAAGCTATTAGTGAGCTTTATATTTTTTAATATATAAAAACTATTTATTTTATGAGAATGTGTTTGTTTAAGAGCTACTATGCAAATAAATAAACACCTAGAAAAAGTACACTATATTATATTATTTTCGATACGATCCCAAATTGTTCATACTTCTTTGCCTTTTCTAAAAGGTTCTTTAAGCGCCTTATTTGGCTCTTTTTGGCATCAATGTAATTATTATTATTGCCACATTCCCAGACAGGACACTGAGGGGAAAAAAAGTGCTTTAAATCAGTCCTACCTGTCTTTATCCATGCTGGGTCAGATCCAGACCTTTAAGAAATAAGGCAGGAAAAGCAGAATAAAGCTTTAGCCTCGGACATGCAGTTCGCCATTATGGTTAGTTAGCGAGTAGATACACTTCCTGTCAGCTCTAGGCACACCAGAGCTGCGCCCCAAGCTCTCCTATACCTTTGTATTGCAGAGGAGCTAATGCGCATGTACAACTTATAACGAATGGGCAAAGATTTTTGCGCCCAAGGTGGAAATACGTTACCAATCTGACGAAAAATGGAATGACTCTTTTCTAGTCATTAAAGATTAAATATTTATCTTACACATCTAAAAAATATATATTATATATTTCAAAAAATTTAAATCTTAATTTAAAATTCTATTAAAAAAGAAAGAAATAACCTTACTTATTAAATCTACCAAAAACCTAAGCGTTCTCCATTTTTTGGTCAATAAATTATATCTCCCTTATTTTTTTTCAATAAATATAAAAAGGTTTGGAATATGATAATAAATGTTGAAACATAATAATTTCGAAATCTTGCAAATGTTTAGCTGCATTAAAAAACATTTCTGTCAAACACCTTGAAATATGGTTTTCCTCTTTTATATATTACACTCCTTGAGGGGAAAAAAATGAAATCCCAAATTATTCTCAGCTGAAATTAGCAAGTTAGACATAAAAAAAAAATGCACATAACCTCTGGTCATGTACGTATAAAGTTTATTTCGTGATCTATTTCATTGCAGTGTAAATATGGCCTGAACCATGTAATTGGCCACGTTAATTACCGTAACTAAAAAGATTTACCATCACAGTAACTTTTTGCTGGAACCTCAGCCACCATGACACTAAATCATGTCTCTTTCTAACATAAAAATAAATTTGTTTTTGAATATTAGTATTTTCTTGCATCACACTAACGGGACATCTTATGTATTTAAATCACACTCTCACATGTGATCCAGCAGTTTTGTTTTTGTTGGAATCCAACGTTTAGCCTGCAATGTTGACATTAGTATTGGAAAATGTCAGCGTTGTTTTTGGTTCTTAAGGGCCTTCACGGTGACTCTTAGTAACTTTGGCCATAATCATAACAAATTGAGCAATGGGGGCTTTTTTTTGTTTGTTTTTTTTATTCAAGGTTATTGAGGTATTTGGGATATTTTTGACTGCTTTAAAAAGTACTTAAATGAGCCCCACCCCCTCCACCAGCAGTAATACCAGTGACTTAAAGATTTATTTAATATTTCAATCTATGCATTATTACTTTTCAACAAGTGTAGATGCCCATAAAATGATCAGTACAAATAGTTAAGAAAAAAAATATAGAAAGCAATTGTCCTTGTATAATACATTTATTTTGATTGATTTTGTTAATGCACATCATATCTCCTATACTCCTCAAACTTGTAAGTTTCTATTTAAAATAGAGAGCAAGCGGCTTTCTGCATATCAGTGGCACTCTTCTGTAAATTTCAATCTTTGATGTCATGTCTGGGAAGGCAGGCAGGACATCAAAGTTCAGAGAGAGTTCAGCTTTGTCTCCTCTCTTTATGGAGCACACATGGCCCACAGTGTCATACTCTTAGAAATGTCTGCCTTTCCGCTTCTGTTCCTTTGTTTTGCTTATTTGTTATTGATGACTTCCATGCAGCTGTCGGTTTCACCCCCTGGTTCATGGCCCAAACATCGCCTGAACCCTGACAGCAATCCGAAACATCAAGGACCTCTAATACTTCAGATTTATGCAGCCATTGTATCATAATAATCTGACAGCTGTATATCATGTATGTTTAAATTCTGGCATCGATACCGAGCATCTTGGAATAAATGTCACCTTTATTTGTCTTTATGGTCACTTTAATCAGGCCAATATGTGCTGTAGTCTTGATGTTATTCCTACGTGGGACAGAGCCATTGCTGTGGTCATGACAACCACAGAGAAAGCAAATGCTTTTTATAACTCTACAGCTATGAGTTATAAGTAAAAAAAAAATCTTCTTTGTATTCCATTTTTTCTGCCTTGTTGATGGCAAAAGAAAATAAATAAAGATCAGAGTTGCTTATATGGGAACTGGACAGAGAACTGAACTAGACTGGTAACATTGACCGAGTCTCACTTAACGCTTCAAAATAGTTGTATAATCTTTCTTCATTCTAAAATTAATTTGAATGTCTTAATTTGTTCCTTCTACCAATAATCACAACCTTTTCCTGTTTTTTTTTTTTTGTTTTTTTCAGCTGCCTTCACCATGATCGGAACTTCCAATCACTTGTCCGATCGTTGCTCCCAGTTCGCCATCCCTTCCCTTTGCCACTTTGCCTTTCCAACATGCGACCGTACCTCAGGCATTGACAGGCCTAGGGACCTTTGTAAGGACGAATGTGAGATACTGGAGAACGATCTGTGCAAGACTGAGTACATCATTGCCCGTTCCAACCCCATCATACTGAAGAGCCTTAAACTGCCCAACTGTGAGGAGCTGGCTGCCTCTGACAGCCCGAAGGCTGCCAACTGTTTACGGATTGGGATCCCCATGGCTGAGCCCATCGATAAAAGTAAGACTGCTCTACTGGTTTGGTGCGGCATACATTACTTCATTGTCCACCAAACATAACAGCCCATCTCTAACATACATTCTTATGATCCCATTTGTGCTCTGGCTGATATTGAGTCATGATGGCTATGTCCGCTTTCATCTCTAAAATTAAGAAATGCATCAAAAGCAATTAAGGAAAAGAGCAAAGCACTCTAGAAATCCAAGCTCACACATTAGTGAAAAACACAGTGCATACCAAGGATGAAACTAGCAGGGAAAATGTCTCCAGTTTCAATTGGAGCTGGAGAGAGCCACCTGTGGAGAGACCCTAGAGGACGCTGTGTACAACTCAGGGAACTCTGTCATAAGTCAAAATCTGCTTCAGATAGGCGTGTAAATTACAGCTTTTATCTGAAGCTTCAGTTCTGACCAGCATTGTTAATCTGAAGCGCAGAGTTGTGTCACCAAAATGGTTTACATTAGCAGGCCATGCAGTGGTTATTTAAACCTCACGTAGCGCAAAAATGATCAGTCTTTGTTTTACCTCTAAGGATTTATCTACAGAAAAGATTTATTTTGTTTATTTATTTCAACATTTGTTGTTGTTTTCTGTCAGGGGATGCTTTTTTTTTTATAAAAGTAAAAATGTTCTTTATATTCATGAAAAACTTCGTACTTAGAACCTGCAGCCATCCTGGGGGTCTGGCTGTTGCCTCCCTGCACAGCTCCTGTGTGGAATGTGTTTTATCCTCCTCCCTGAGCTTTGTGTCATTCCTTCTCTTACATTTGTATCTAAATGTTTGACAATCTTTGGGACAAATATTATTTCAACAGATGAACTTTTTTGTGAGCGATGACAAATTGGATCTCCCTACTTATGAAGCTCACCCTCTTTGTAGTTTCTCAAATGAGATTACACCTATCCATTTAAATTATTACAATAAAGCCCATGTTTATTTCAAGAAATTTATATTTTTTCTGTTTATGACCAAAAAGAATGTCTTCCATTGTGTATAAATGCTATGTTAATACCTGTATGCATATGTTAAAGGACTGTTTTTGCTCTTTTAGTGTTCTTTTTTAAGTCATGTAAGAGTTTTTACTCAGAAATTAAGTGTCTACATTAATCTAAAATTAATTAATTAATGGATGGCATTCTTGCAATTATGAGAAAGTGGGAGAGAACGGATTTGACTAAGTAAGTTGTTAGGAGATTCTTTCCAGAGGTAGCGTGCCCTGAAGCTGCTAAAGGTTCTGAAAACATGCTTTGGTCGCAAAACTTCTGCTGGACAGGTAACCATTTAATTACGTTTAATTCTGTAGTAAGTACTGTATTCAAAAACAACTTGTTCTTATGGAGATTTCCTGCTGACTAGGTGCAGTCTGGCACTTTACTGCCTCTATAGGTGAAAAACAATATTCTGAGCAGAGGTGTTTCCAGCGTAGTGAACTTTTGCGAAGGAGGGGGCACTGACGCATGCACACCATTCTGAATTACATCTGTTGGACATATCTTCCACCAGAGAATCCTCTTTCCTGCCTTTAAACCACTTTTCTACTTTCAGACTAAAGCAATTACAGATTTTCTTTTATTGTTGCATTTTGATCAAATATGTTTAGCTCTAAATTTGAGTATTTACTTATGTCTGTTCACTGTTCAATTATTGGGCGTAAGCAATGAACACCTCACCTTTATTTTTCTCAGGTCACAAGTGTTACAACAACACTGGAGCAGATTACAGAGGCACCGTGAGTGTGACCAAATCGGGGCGCCAGTGTCAGCCGTGGAACTCCCAGTATCCCCACAGCCACACCTACCTGGCAGTCCGTTACACCGAGCTGAATGGGGGGCACTCTTACTGCCGCAACCCTGGGAACAAACACGAGGCCCCCTGGTGCTTCACGCTGGATGAAGGTGTTCGCATGGAGCTCTGCGACATTCCAGTCTGTGGTGAGGCACTTCGGTTTAAACCTTCAAGTTAGAATTTGATGCTGTTTCCTCTCAATAACTTCTTAAAAAGTTCTTTGTCATGTTTTGTTTTTGATAACCCTGAGATTGGAAAGAGAGTAAAGAGCTTCTTTTTTTTCTTTTCATGCATTCTTAAATAATCTGATCATCTTCTAGCTGACTTCCTTCACCCTTTCTTGGCTTTATTTAAACAGCATTTCCTGAACTAGAACTCTGGAAGGGTTTGTTAATTAGATAAATAAGCTCTGTTGGACAGAGAGAGGTGGAAGTAAAGGATCACGTTACAGAAGCACAAGCTGCAGGAACATTTTTAAAAACCCAAAACGCAAATGCATATCACTAAAGCACAAAGCCTACCCCCCAACCTTTTTTTTTTTAAGCATTTTATTATCTTTAAATTGTCACAAGTACAGACCAATGTAATTAACTCTCTGCATTTAACTCATCCCCTTGGGAAGCAGTGAGCTGATCTTAACATTTTATCTCTCAGCGTTTTCAGCAAAACTGAATGTTCAGGTTTTGAAAAAAAAAAAAGAAAAAACTTTCCCACTTTCTTAATTACCGGTACTTCAAATCCAGGATGAACTGGACTTGTGGACTCTAAACTAAGTCTGATTTGAACACCCAATATTGTGCTATTTCTATTTCTTTTTAAGAAGGAAATGAAGGTACCAACATTGGAAAAGAGAAAAATCTGAAGGAATAAGTGTTTTTATTTAAGGAGAATTTAGTCCTCATTTAGTAAATCCAACTGTTAGATAGCAACTTAGAGCAAAGTGGGGGAAAAAAGCCATGAAATGTCACTATCCCACACTCCGATAGTCAGAAGCCAATATCAGGACAGTGTTGTTTTTGTGATTTGTGGAACCTACTAATGGGGAAATGATTTAATAACATTAAGGTGAACATTTTGTCCTCAAATATCAAGCTTGTTTTAGTTGGAGAAGGACAGTCACTTCCTGTGATAGGCATAGGGACCTGTAAAAGGTTTGTACATTCTCCCACCCAGTGAATGCTGGAGGTAAGCACCTACCTACCCACATGCTCTGTGACTTTATACGGATATGAAGATTTATATAAATGTTTGACTTTTTTTTAACTGGTCTTTTAATCATTTCACACAGCTTAATTAATGATATTAGATGTAGTTATTATTCAAAGCATTAGCAAACATCTAGACTTGAATGACTGCGTTGGAAGAACAACTAAAGAGGAAGGCGTACACCTGAACACAAAAAAGTACAAGGCCAGAGTTACCTTTAAAAAGGGAAATAAATCAAGAGGCTACACAGAGTTAACGGCAGCAACAGCCCCATCAATCGTTTTATTCAAGAAAAAAATGAATCGGGTTTACTTTCTGTTTGAGAGAAAAACTAATCATTGCAAAGTTCATGCCTGCAATAGAGCGTCCAGAGACACTGGATCTATGAAACAGTGGAGGCAGTGGTGCTTTTTACTTTTTAACATTGATGTTACACTATTAACACCATATTTATTTCTCTGTTTCAGACCATAAAGATAAGTCCAGTGGCAGCATGGAGATCCTTTACATCCTAGTTCCCAGTGTGGCCATCCCATTGGCCATCGTCTTGCTTTTCTTGTTCATCTGCGTTTGCCGTAACAACCAGAAGTCCTCCAGGCCTCCAGCTGCTCGTCCACCCAAACCAGTCCGAGGTCAAAATGTGGAGATGTCTATGCTGACAACTCCCTACAAACCAAAGGTAGTACATGCACCAACACGAAACATAGCGACAAAGTGAATGTGTCTCTGTCTCTGCTTTACTTTATTCATTTGCAGTTAAAAGAAAATGATCCCATAAAGTTAGAATTCAGCTTAAATAACTGATTTTTGAATTAGGACTGGCTGCTGTTTAGGGGTGGTGTTATTCACCTTTTTTTGTCTAATATACCTTTATTTGTGCTTAAAACAGCTTTCAGTGCTTTCGGAAAACACTTGCACCTCTCAAATCCTCAGATGGAACTATTGCTACTTCATCTCTTAGTCGCATCATTATGACTTTACGCAGTAGGACAAAGACCCTTGTCTGACAGAGTAACATAGTTTAATTTAATTGAGTTCTTTAACTTGCACTGCATGTTTGGGCCCCCTTGAACCTTCTCGCAAAGAAAGCCCCTCTACTCTCTTTGTCTGAAAGAGCAGACTAGAGGAGTCAAAACAGCGGTGCAGCACCCTGCCTGTTGGCTGTGACACCTCGCAGCATGCCGAGGTTACAAGGTTCGTTGTGTGGAAATGACCTGCATGAGGCAAACCTTCAGATCTCTATCATCAGATCTCAGCAGGTCCAGGAATGTTCAGCTGCAGCTTTTTCCCTCTGTTTATTTTTCTCCCACTATCTGTTTTTCCACAGCTCTCCTTCACACTTCTGCTTTCACTTATCCCATCCTCTTCTTATGTCCTTTCCCTCCATCCCCTTTACGGGACATCTTATTCTGTCTTTACTCCCCTGACTTTGTAGTGCAGATGACCAGGCAGAGTATAATTCACATCAGGGTCTGAATCATGCTTCCTTTAAGGTTGCACATTCAGCCATTCCATGTCTGTTTCTTATTTTCTAGATTTTCTTTACCAGTCAAAGTGGAGAGTATTTGATTATCTGCATTAATATTACATTACAACTAAAAGGGTTCGGATTTTTAGCCAGAACACATGTTTCTCTGATTTAAAAACTGAAGCTCTTCTATGTATGTTTGGATACAAGCACGTTAGTGATTAATGTAATGTAAATGTAAATTCCTTTATTGTCCCACAATGGGGAAATTCACTCTCTGCATTTAAGCCATCCCCTTGCAGAGCAGTGTAGGGTTAAGGGTTTTACTCAAAGACGCAGAGTGGAGGCTGTGAGGATTGAACCAGGTACTTGCAACCACTAGGCCAACACTGATCAATGATGTACTCTAAGGTTGATTTATTTTAATGGTCAAATAACGATTAATTGATTGTGAAAATTTCTCTTTTCATAACAAGCTTTTTTTTTCTCCTTTTTTTAGTACATCATTGTACTAAACAGTTAATTGTTGTACCAACTGTATTAAATACTTATATTATTATATTATTATATTACTTATATATATTTTCCTACACATTATTTGACTCATTCAAAGACATAACAAACCGGAACCTATTAGGCCATTGCATAAAAAAGATGAATAAGAAATTTAAAAAAATATTATTTTAAATCTACAGAGATGGAAATTTATCATTAATAAACAGGGTATGTCACTCTAACATGCTATAGAACTATTTTCCACTTCGTTTCAATGAAGTGGAAGCTAACTTTAATAAAGTTCTTTGTGTAGTAGAAAACAGCATTACAGCATTTTCAGAGCCTCTTTATACCATCTAACAATGACAGTAATTTCTTTCCAGGATTTTTCCACAATCTGTGATAGTGGATGTATTAATATGCTAAATCAAAGGATGTCTCCAGATGTTTACATTTGTGAACCCTTACCAGTAAGAGCTGCTACTTTCCAAAAGAACATTTGCTATTTTTAAACTCTTATGACCCACGGCCATTTTCAAAGAGCATACGCAGAAAAAGATAGCTAACTAGGGATGAGCAGGTCGCCTTATGTAAACATATCACCAGAATGACTAACAATTAGGAGGACCATTTATTTTGATGATCCACCCAGAAAAAGAAAATCCTCCCCTATACCTTTAAGACAGCATATATATATATATATATATATATATATATATATATATATATTTATTGAAAATAGATTATTTTACATCTCATGCAATCAGACTTAGTTGTTGCTATTTTGCAAAGGATGGATAAAAGTCTGTAGAGACAGACCTCCAAATGACCCCCAGATGGAAAGGCTGCAGGTTTACAGGTTTAAATCCCACAGATGATGACTCTGGGGTCCTAGGAAAGACCCTCAGCTCCCTAGGGAGAACTGTTGAATTAAGGTCATTTCTTTATTTGGGGATGTATAATGTTGCTTTGAGAAATAATAAATAGGTCCAAATTTTCAGATTTTTATTTAAAAAAAAAAAAAAAAAAACATGGATAACTTTTTCCTTCTAAAACATCATTTAAAACTCCACAATGTTTTAGCATTTGGATGCTACCCAGCAGGCTTTTTTTAGGGTCATAGAAGGGCCAAACCCTGAAACGATTTCTTCACACACACAAACCTGTGGTGGTGTAGTTTGGATCTGAGGCTTTGGGTGTGGGAGTAAAGGGGTGAAACAAACCCATAACCCAAAACATCTGCTTTTCTCCTAATATAATACACTCACACCCCCCTCAGAGCTCCCGCTGACCTGTGTGTGCGTGTGCCTGAGCATATGTGTGTGTCGTGCTCGCAGAGGAATTTCATTATTCAACTCGGAGTTCCTGGAATCTTAAAATCTCTGCCAGCCTTCGCTCACTTTTCATCTCCTCCCAACTCCAACCTCACACACCCCTAATGGACTCCTTCTCATACACACATAAACAATTTACTAACACTCCAATCTATTAATGTTTTCTATAGAAATAGAAATAAAGCTGGTCTTCTGGAGTTTTTAACTCTAGAGGACCAGTGTAGTTATGCTCATCTTATTTTTTATTGATACAAATGTGGCATAACGACATTATTAACTGACCTTTCATGATCAGTCTGCTTGTTATGGCAATGACTCTACTAGTCTAGCTGGATTATTAAAAAAAAATTCAGAAGGACACACCAACTAATTAAACCCATTATTAAAGGAAAATTGGGGTTTCTCGCTGTTCGTCTCCAAGAACTCATATTTAAATGCTTTAGGATTTCTGTTCCCCACTTGCATGCATGTAAAAAGAAATAAAAAATTAAGGAATTGTTTTTTCAGTTAATACGTGGCACTCCAAGCCCTCCTTCCCAATTAGCCTAACAGCTTTTTTTCTGTTATTTCTGCTGCAGAATCTTGGGTTTACTGACTTGGGAGTTAATTTTCCCCCAAATGCTTAGAGAGAGAGCTGAGAGCCAAATCCCATTTTTTAGGCATACGATATGTTGCCTGATTTCCCCTTTTCCCCAACCGCTTTCCAAAATTGTTAAGGAAATTACTAAGTGGTGATGTAATGGATTTAGTCTGTCTAGAACAATTAATAATCTTCTGGGATATTTTTTCACCCCACATCATTTTACACCTTCAGCCTGTTTTCATTTGTATCAGCCAGTTTTTTAGTAGATAATTGATACAGAAATACCCCATATTGGGATTTCTACAGAAAATAATGTTGATAAAAGAGTAATGGCCGTTCGGGCAAAATAATACCACAGCTTTCCTGTAACCTCTTTGCAAACCACTGATATTAGGTTTTGTGTTCACAGGGTAAAGCCAAAGAGCTCCCCATGTCGGCGGTGCGTTTCATGGAGGAGCTTGGAGAATGCACGCTGGGGAAGATCTACAAGGGTCATCTCTATCTGCCAGGCATGGACCAGGCGCAGCTTGTGGCCATTAAGACTCTGAAAGATATTTCCACCAATCAGCAATGGACAGACTTTCAACAGGTACTGAATGAATAACTGTTCCCAAAGTATATATATTTTTTATTTTGTTTACATTTTACCCTTAGAAAATTTTGTTAACATTACAAGTTATGCATTTACAAATTTCCATGAAATTTGATTTAGGCTTATAGTCTACTATAGTTTTATTAGTTTTCATATCAAAAATATAGAAATATTTTGAAATTGCATAAGGAGATGTGTGAGAGATTGTTGAGATTTAAAATTACTTTGTTACAAGCCAAGCTTGAAGATATATTAATTCCTGCTCCTATTTTGAACAGTATTGTTACTCTGGGGTCATCTGTGTCACCAAAAGTCAAATGTTTCTTTACTCTAATTGTTTATTGTTGTTTCACCACTTTCAAAGTGATTATCTGTGTCACCAATCACACCCTTCTAAACTTATATTTCATGGGAAAAAAATGTTGTTTTTCTCCTAAAAGTAACTTTAAGCTAAATGGAAAAAAAAATGCATGCTGGATGGGAGGGAAGACAAATATTGTAATACTTCATTATATTGGTATTGTTTTAAAATTCAGCAGAGCAAATCTAAATGTATTGAATACTAATAGACAAACATCCATTTCATTCTTACTTTTATATAACTCTTAAAAATCCAACTGCTAGTTGGCAGCGCACTGTAGCTGCCGTGCTCCCTATACAGCAGAGTAACAAAAAGACCAGGGCTATATTCAGCATTCAGCAAATCATCCCCTTTCTTAAATAACCATCCCCCATACCATCCCCTGTGACATTTTATCATCAAATGTGTAAAATGTCTACTATGTATTAACCATAATGGCAATAATATTGCCCTTTGCACATTTGGTGGGCTGTGGGCTTATGAGTAGCTTGAGCAAAATAAATAAAATCAAAGAAGTGGCCTACCATGACCATGAAACTGATCCCAGTGGGAAATTAGTCCTCTGCATTTGTCCCTAACTATGTAGGGGCAGTGATAGCCATGCATATGCAGGAACTGACTGCAGTTCTGCTGTAAAGTGCCTTGGTCAAAGGTCAATGACCGGCATACCTGACATGTAACAACCATGCCATGCATATTGCTTTAGGTTAATAGACTATATAATATGTATGCTACAAAAACAAAAAAATCCACCATTACCATCTTTTTTTTTTTTTTACAGCTAGACTATTGGCTATATTATTATAAAAATTGCCATCTATCATCTTTGTTAATGTATTGGGATATTGGGATAAATCATATCATAGCACATGTATTATGGTACGTTTAGCCCAATTATTGCCAATTCACACCCCTAGAGCATAGTAATACGTAATTTTCCAGAGGCTAATGTCTCAGTGGTAAATGCTGTTCTTCTATGAGACTTGAGCCTCCTCACGTTATCACTAGATTAGTTAAATGTTTTTGCCCACTATATATGTCATACTGTTCAGAAACACTGAAGGAAAGAAGTATTCACTTGCAAATGTTGTTAAAGGGGAGTGGTCTTATAATATATTAGTTAAATATTAGTGCAATAAAGGGATTTTCTATTCTATTTGTTTAATTAATTTGTTTAATATTGGTTGGTCTTCAAGCACACTGAGCTGTCAATAAAGCGCAAGGTCCTGCAAGACTGTGGGGGTCTATTAAGTAGCCTCAGTTGGCACGTCTGGCTGCAGTCAGACGGTGCTATTGCGCCTGGTGCAGGAATTCTTCTTAGATGCAAAAAGGACTAATGAGAAACTATCAGGACAAATACTTGGTGTAGATTACCATATGTAATCATGATCAAATGTTTTTGGTGTTTTTGTATAGGCATATAACATGACTACACTCTTTCAATCTAACAGGCTGAAGGTACTTCTGCACGGATGTTGCTCTTTTAATCGATGGGTTTCCTGTCACACATTGTGACAGAAAAAAAAAGTGATCATGTGTGTTCATTAAAACAGTTGTGATATTTATTGATATTTATTGATTTCCAGGAAGCTGCTGTGCTGACTGAGCTCCAGCACCCGAACGTGGTCTGCCTCCTTGGTGTGGTTACGCAGGAGCAACCTGCCTGCATGCTATTCGAGTTTCTGCCACAAGGAGATCTTCACGAGTTCCTGATTATGCGGTCGCCGCACTCTGACGTTGGCTGCAGCAGTGACGAGGACGGCACTGTAAAATCCAGTCTTGATCATGGAGACTTTCTGCATATGGCCATACAGGTAACTTCAACCAACATGGTACATGATGTTGTTAAATGCTTTGAATCATCTTTTAATGCAATAGAAATTATAAAAAGATACAAATAAAGACATGCTAAAACTAGTGTTTGATTGTCATTGCTTTGTAATTTGTCTGTTTTGTTATTTCTGACTTGGATGACCCAATATTTGTTTTATCAATTAGGTTGCTGCAGGGATGGAATATCTAGCCAGTCACTTCTACATCCATAAAGACCTGGCAGCAAGGAACATTTTAGTAGGCGAACAGCTGCACGTGAAGATTTCTGACCTGGGTCTCTCCAGAGAAATCTACTCCTCTGACTACTACTGCATCCAGCCTAAGACTCTGCTGCCCATCCGCTGGATGCCCCCTGAATCCATCGCCTATGGGAAGTTCACCACAGACTCAGACATCTGGTCATTTGGGGTGGTTCTGTGGGAGCTCTTCAGCTACGGCCTGCAGCCTTACTATGGCTTCTCCAACCAGGAAGTGATGGAGATGGTGAGAAAGAGGCAGTTGCTGCCCTGCCCGGAGGACTGCCCACCAAGGTGTGTCACTGCATGGTTTCTGATCAGGAGATGTAGCCTTAGGCCTCCTACATTGTCTGCAATAGTCTAGAATGGTACTCTGTAGGTCTGGTACAGTATATCTCGAGCATGCTTGTCAGGAAAATGGTTCCATCTTTGTGAGATTTGACCGTTGAGCTTCAATGAAAAGAAGTTTTCTAGCCCTTAACAGGCTCCCTGGTGAACTTTAAGGCGGACTTTGGGCCATTTTAATACTATAAAGTTTTTTGGTAAATGGCATCAACTTCATGTTCTTGCAGACAAAAGACAATCCCAAAGCCTGACACCACTTCTGCTATGTTTTACTGTGGTGATGTCATGCTTAGAGGATTATGGAGTATGGGTCTGTAGCTTATATGCTCATAAAAGTTGATATTTTTTTTGTAATTTGTGCGTAAAAAATGCATTTTTTGTCAGTGAATAACTTCCTACGTCTACCATCTTTCAGGTTTTATGGCTTGATGACAGAATGCTGGCAGGAGGGACCAGCTCGCCGACCACGCTTTAAAGACATCCACAGCCGCTTGCGAGCTTGGGAGGGGCTGTCTTCCCACGCCAGCTCCAGCACTCCCTCCGGTGGAGGAGGCAACGCCACCACTCAGACAACCTCGCTCAGTGCCAGTCCCGTCAGCAACCTCAGCAACCCTCGCTTTGCCACCGCCACCGCTGGATACCTCTACCCTGCCCAGGCCATCCCTGCACCTGGGCAGATGGCGACTATTCCTGCCTGGACTCCAATGGCTGTCCCACAAACCCATCAGCGCTTCATCCCTGTCAATGGATACCCCATCCCACCAGGATATGCAGCCTTCCCAGCTCACTTTGCCCCTCCAGCTCCACCTACTAGAGTCATCCAGCACCACCTGCCGCCTCCTAAAAGCCGCTCACCCAGCAGTGCCAGCGGCTCCACCAGCACGGGCCACGTCAGCGGGGTGCCTTCCACCACGGGCTCCAACCACGAGGCCAACACGCCACTCCTCTCTCACTGCGTCACGCCGGGGAACGGCGGGGGTCAGGTTTACGGACAAGTCTCCCAAAAAGGGGTGACGCAAATTGACCACGTTTCGCAAACTTCAGCTCTGCTCACTCCAGACTCTGATGTGATTATGTACAATGACTCAGTCATCACCGCGGACCTGTGAACAGGCCGGGGCAATGTTCCCTCTCTCTTCCTGCTCCGGAACCTCATATGAGACGTTCTGCCTCTCAGCCAGAGAGCGAGAACCACAGCTCAACTTCGGCCTTAGTGAGACCAGACAGGCGCAGGCTTGTTCACACTGCTAAATGTGCAAAAAAAAACAAAAAAAAAACAAACAAAAAAAGCATTGCTGCAGCTACATAAGTATTGCAAAGAGATGTCTGACTGTAAAGTGTTCTTAGTGTCTTGGTTTAACAATGTTGCTATGGTAACCCTTGTAAATACAATACATTAAAGTGTTGAGTGAATGAAAAAAATACATATAAGTATATATTCAAAAGGAACTTTTTAAGCTTATGGTTGAAATAAGTAACAAGTCCACCCTGGTTCAGTTGATTTTATTGGACCCTTGCAGGCAGTGAGTTTGTGACTCTGTTAATAGACTGTTTCATATAGAGACATAAACATTCATGAAACTCGCTCACGGTGCCTTTCAGCTGCGCTCCAGAATACCCACACCGGCCTAAGCAATGAAACGTTGGCTCAAGCAGGACCATCTACTGGCTTTCTGTGGGTTTCCTGCTCCACCCTTTGGACTCCAGACTCCAACATGTTTGGTTCTGTGCCTTAGAGTGTAGCCCCCACCCGACCCCACCCTCACTGTAAAGCAACAGGAATTGAGATGGCATCTACGGGGATGCAGCTCAATTTGTTATTGTCAAGGTCAAGCATCAACATACCCTCGTCATTCACATCTTTTACCATCGAAAATGACAGCTGAATGTTTGTTTTATTTTATTTTTTCAATCAAAGTTGATGAAACTTCCTCTACAATCAAAAAACATCTCCCCTCTGCTTAAAACGGCTACGGAGTTCCCCCCCAAAACATCTTTTTTTTTTGGTCAGCATTATCAAACTAGTCCAGTTTGGAGATATAGCGAGACGTTCTCATATAGTAGTCACTAATCAAAACAGGGGCTATACTAGAATGAATTTCAACAGTGTAATATAAGTACAAATTTCCATTTAACTTTTGTAGTTAATGTTTCCACCAAACAATGACTTTTTGCTGGTCTTAGTCTGATTTAAATCTTTCTGGGGATTTGATGTAACTCTACCTACCCTGTAACAGCAGTGTACTCCCTAAATGCTTCTTTATGCATGGCTATTATCATTTGCAGAAAAGGTTGATGAAGACGGAAAATTAAAGTTTTAGAAGAAAAACTATTCCTGTTTACATTTTCCATTTCAACGTCATAAATTATTAGTATCAGTATGTTTCTTGTTTATTTTTGGATTTTTTTAAATCAACATATATGAAAAATTGCACAGTCCGTGTTATTAACAACTGTTTTAGCTAAAGCCAATCTCCTGTGGTTTTGTTTTCAGTGGGTTGGATGGTGGAAATCGGCAGTTAACTCCCCTATGAGAATGTTTTCCCTAACTGAGATTCTTCTGACCGCTTTCTATTAAAATAAGACTGACTTTAACTAATCAAAACACCTGTAACTCAGAAGAAAAAAAAACAAAAAAACAATCTAGAAAGGGTTGGTAAGGTAGTGGAAGGTTGTGCGTGCTCACAACTAACCCACACAACCCTGAAAATAATTCTTAATTAAATTCTTTAAACTTTTATACCAACGCAGCCTTTTAGAGATTTTTTTATTGACAATTTTAGTGCTTTATTTTTTTAAAGAGTTGCTTCCCAGATGTGTCTTTGTGGGGTTTGTATTTATTTTTTTTTACGTTTTGAGGAAAAGTAATCATCCAAGATATCATTGTAGGAAGTTTATTGTAAATACACAAGGCCTGTAGCAGATAACGGTACTATGGAACATTCTAGGGTCTCTGAAAACAGTTGGAAGTCATCGTATGTGCTTCATGCACCAGGTCCTGTGAATACAGTGTACTTTAGTGCATTTTGCAGGCCATGCTGGGTAACAAGCAAGTGGCCTAAGTAGCGAGGGAGGGAAAATAAATCAAATTTGTCTGTTATTTCTACATCTGTATTTATTCGTCAGTGTCATAGTGGCTTACATTCTCTCTGATACCTTTTTCCAAAATGAAGAAGTGTGTGTTTGGTAAATGCTGAACTCTGTACTCTATTTTTTTTTAATAGTAATGTCAATTAATTACTAAATATGAAGCTTTTGGCATGTTTTTTTTTTAACAGCAGTTTATCATCATCCCCCTTTTTTATTTGACAATCCTCAAAATGCAAATATTAACAAAGATACTTTGGGCTGTGTGTGTGTGTTACTTATCTCTGTTAGAAGGCTAACAATCAGTTGTGTTTGACCATTTTTTTGTGCTGCAAACACTTTTTAGCAGAAAACTAAGTTAATAGAGATAGAAAATACTTTATTTACTTCAAGAGGTATTTGATTCAATCAGTCCCCAAGTTTTGGTAAAAAAGGACAGTTAGACAAAATTTCTGCTTTATGAATTTTTATAGGAAACAAGTTAAACGTGCACAAAGGTGATTTTAAGTCATAAGTTTGGGGGGGTTTTACAGATTTTTTATTTTATTTTATGAAGTACAACTTTACTTATGATTAAGACGCCTGTCTTGTGTTTGTTTTTGCTTTGTTTTTTTTTTGTTTGTTTCTTTTTCTAAAGTAGACGGAGCTACCTATAACCGAGTTTGTTCACTTCCACCGTGAAACAGATGTGTAAGTGCAAAAACCACTTGTACACAAGACTGTGAATCTTTATAAGGTCTGTTTGAGTTATTTTGTTTTTGCAGAACCATCATAAATGTGCCTTTTTAGTCCTTTTTTTTTTAAGAACCAACACAGTTTTATTCTCACATTAGGTTTATTCTCATATTGACCAAGTTAGGCCTTTTCTTTGTAATTCGCCCGATTGTTTTTGCACAAATGTTTTTGTATTGCAAAAATCATTATTATTAAATAATGTTTGTCAAAGTTCTCTCTAGAATATTTCTTATTTCATGTACGGTGCAGTTGTCATAACAGAAGGAATCCACCAGGTGTCAGCAGATCTCCATTTTCGGGCTGTCATTTCCTTGGTACAGTGACTGTTGATGAACAGAGGGTGGCGCTGTTTAGCTGTTTATTAAAGGCTGAACTCTATGCAGCTGCAAACTATATTAGTCAAGCAAGAATTTCACCAGAACTGGGAAAAAAAAAAAGGAGGTGTAATAGAAAGGACTTTTCGGTGTTCTTATTCATGTGAGTGTTTTCTTTGTTTTTTTTTTTCATTCACATGCAAATGTTGCAGATTTGAAGAGGGGATTTCTAAGCTAAAGCATGCCCCATGATCAAACTTGTTTGAAATCTTATTCCATTTATAACTTTACTGGGTCTGTTTGTGT